AGAGCGTCTTCCAAATAATGTCTAAGGAATAACATTGTCATTATTCAGGGAACACTCCCCCAATTTACCTATTTCCTACTAAAACAAAACTCATTACTTGAATCAGAAAATAAATTCCTCTGTTTTAATTCTTCTTTTCACCAACTTAAATGAAATCTTTTATTTTCCCTGGCTTTCCTATGGAAAGAAAATAGATTTTTTATGATTTTTGTGTCGTTTTGAGTTGTTAAATGTAGCGTAGTAGTTTGCTGAAGCGTAAATGCCTTAGTTTTGCTCTTATTTTGTGAATGGTGAGAATTCCATTTGGGCAGACGTGCATTTTAATGCTGCAGACAGGTAACATTTGTCATCCACAGTGCAGGGCAGTGGTTATATAATAGAAAAGCTTGAAACTGTCCAGGAGCTCAGTTCTTGAGGCATGACAGTGCAGGAGAAAAATATTGTAATGGAAAATAGTGGTAGAGGAGGTAAATTCATTTTCCTAACATTTTGTTTCCCTTTGCTCCCCTTTATTTTTGACTTAAGAAAAGATCACTTGGTTGGATGTTATTTTTACACAGTGTGGTTGCTGCTTAAATTCATTGAATAGCTAATTTCCATATGTAGAACACTCATTGTTACCCCATCATAAAAATCTTGACCTCTTCATAAGCTTCTCTGGCAAAAGTGAGTGATAGGTAATTTCTTCAGTTTTAAGCCACAAATTGAAATGAGTTGAAGTGTATGTATGCTTGATTTGGCTTCCTGTCCAGTAAGGTTTGGAATAGCTAGCTGTAGCCACTGTATGGTGGCTGTGGTGTTTATCAGTCTGGTATCAAAGTCTGCCTTGTGAGTGCCATTGCTTAGGCTTAGCCTATAAAAAACCACTAGAGAAGCAGGTGAGGGCAAGTGCTATGGTACACAGCCCTTTAAGGGCCTTACATTTGGAATTCCGATGAAGCTTACTTTGTTCAGTACGGTAAAACCTTGGCTATCTGATGGCTTCAAGGAATGTGCTGTGTAGTGTTTAACCTTTCACATATGACAACTTAAACTCACAGAGACCTGTGATTACTCTAGTTCTAGCTTAGTAGCTAGCACACTATTCTTTTTTTTTTTTTTTTGAGACGGAGCCTCAAGCTATCCCCCTGGGTAGAGTGCCATGGCATCACGCTCACAGCAACCTCCAACTCCTGGGCTCAAGCGAGTCTCCTGCCTCAGCCTCCCAAGTAGCTGGGACCACAGGCGTCCGCCACAACGCCAGGCCATTTTTGGTTGCAGCCATCATGGTTGTTTGGCGGGCCCGGGCTGGGGATTCGAACCCGCCACCTTAGGTGTACGTGGCTGGCGCCCTAGCCGCCTGAGCCACAGGCGCCGAGCCTAGCACACTATTCTTTCATCTACTACTGTTCTCAATCCTCAGTCATGCTACTCTAGCAACGTGAGTGTTCTTGGAAAACTCCAGGCAGTTTCCTGCCTGTCACTGACATAGCTACAGGCAGCCCCTGCTCTTCCTTTGTCTCTGCTCACATGCCACCTGGTCGGGAGGCCTGTCTGGACAGCCTCACTTCAGATTGCTCCTTCGCCTCGTCCTCCCCTTTTTTTTTTTTTTTTTTGCGGAGACTTTATTTTATCACCCTCAGTAGAGTGCTGTGGTGTCACAGCTCACAGCAACCTCCAACTCCTAGGCATAGGCGATTCTTTTGTCTCAGCCTTCCAAGTAGCTGGGACTACAGGCGCCCACCACAATGCCCGGCTATTTTTTTGTTGCAGTTTGGCCGGGGCTGATTTTAACCCGCTACCCTGGGTATATGGGGCTGGCGCCCTACCTGCTGAGCCACGGGTACCGCCTTCGTCCTCCCTTTACGTTCTTTCTCTTCCTTGCTTCATTTTTTCCCCAAAGTACCTACCACTATCTGACATATTAACATTGATTGTTTTGTTCACTTTACTAGAACGTAAGTCTCGTAAAGGCAAGGATTTGTTCCCTGCCACACCCCTGGTTGCCTAGCACAGGGCTTGATGTATAAGGAGTTAAACATAATTATTGAATGAATAAGTTCATCAGTTACTTCTCTCTTTCCCTTGTATATAGTAAGCTCTTCAGAACAGGAAACATGTTCTAGTTGTTATATTTATATAGTATAATAAAATCTCAGCAAGTGATTGTCATTCAGTAGCCACATGCCTTCAGATGAGATTTAATAATCTTTTTCCATTGGCTGTTGTGTTCTTTTTAAGAAGGTACTGTGTCATGGTGAAACTGTGGTAAAGCAACAGCAATGAATACCTTTGGGACTTTATTCTTTTATAGAAGTGGTTGTCAGAAAAAGCGTCTTGCATTTTGGGATGTTAATATTACCTTTCCTCCTCCTACACACACATACACACATGCAGACTCACAGTTGAAGTATTTTTATTAAGACTTGGAGGTTTTATATGTCTGGGGCTGATTTAATTTTAGACCTAGTGTTTATGATTCTTACATGACATATTAAAAAAGAAAAACTTCATCACATTAGATTTTGCCTTTGATCTTGAAAGGCATAATCTGCTTTTTTTCCTAGACATGGTATGTTATGTTCAAGTATAAGACTTTTTGCCACTTTAACCATGTGCTTCCTTCCTTAGGAATCGGAGAAGATCATTGCTGAGTTGAATGAAACCTGGGAAGAGAAACTTCGTAAAACAGAGGCTATCAGAATGGAGAGGTCAGGATGTTAAAGTATTAGAATGTTTCTAAGTTTTCTAAGAATTTGGATTTTTATAGTAAGAAAAGATGAAATCAAAGTTAAAAACAAATCTAAAACATGAAGCAAAAAATAAACCTGGCTGGGGTCTTAGGGCCAGTTGAATTTACACTTGAAGTAAAATGCACATATTTAAATGTTCTTCAGGAAGTTATGTGATTAACAGTTGCCATTGTACATGCTGCTAGGGAGCCTTAAGAAATGGAATATATTAGGCTGGGCATGGTGGCTCATGGCTGTAATCCTGGCCGTATGGGAGGCTGAGGCAAGAGGATTGCTTGAGGCTGGGAGTTCGAGACCAGCCTGAGCAAGGGTGAAACCCCATCTCTATAAAAAGTGGGATAAATTACTTGGGTGTGATGGCATGCACCCATAGTCCCAGTTACTCTGGAGGATAAGGCACAGAGCCCAGGAGTTGGAGGTTGCCGTGACCTAAGATAAGGCCACTGCCTGCCAGTCTGGGCAATGTGGCAATACCCTGTCTCAAAGAAAAAGGCAAAATAGGAACATATCGAGGGGTAGTGTTTTTCATTTGTGAAAAGTTATTTTTCAGTTACCTTCTGCAGAACCTGTTTGGTAAGGGGTGAAGTAGTTTGGATCGTAAACTTTAAAAATCCTTATCTACCTTGAAGATGCACATAACCCAAAATGATACTTTTTTTTCTCTTTTTTCCTTGAGACAGAGTCTCGCTATATTGACCTTGGTAGAGTGCCATGGCATCACAGCTCACAGCAACCTCAAACTCTTGGGCTTAACTGATTCTCTTGCCTCAGCCTCCCAAGTAGCTGGGACTACAGGCGCCTGCCACAACACCCAGATATTTCTTTGTTACAGTTATCGTTGTTTGGCAGGCACGGCTGGGTTCGAGCCTGCCAGCCTTGGTGTATGTGGCTGGTGCTGTAACCACCGTGCTATGGGCGCCAAGCCCCAAAATGATACTTTTGCTATTGGAATAAAGGTACATTAAAAAATATCAGTTCTTGGCTGGGCATGGTGGCTCATGCTTGTAATCCTAGCACTCTGGGAGGCTGAGGTGGGTAGATTGCTTGAGCTCAAGAGTTTGAGACCACCCTGAGCAAGAGTGAGACCCTGTCTTTACTAAAAGTAGAAAAATAAGGTGGGTGCTGTGGCACATGCCTATAGTCCCAGCTACTTAGAAGGCTGAAGCAAGAGGATCACTTGAGCCCAGGAGTTTGAGGTTGCTCTGCGCTATGACACCTTGGCGCTTTAGGCTAGGGCAACAGAATGAGACTGTCTCAGAAAAATAATCAGTTCTTGTTTTCCCCCTCCATGGAAGATGAGGAAGAATTGAATTCTAATATACTGATAAAATTAGAATTTCTTTCTTTCTTTTTTTTTTTTTTTAAGAAACAGAATCTCATTTTATGGCCCTCAGTAGAGTACGGTGGTATCACAGCTCACAGCAGCCTCCAACTCTTGAGCTTAGGTGATTCTCTTGCCTCAGCCTCCCGAGTAGCTGGGATTACAGGCACCCACCACAACTCCCAGCTATTTTTTTGTTGCAGTTTGGCTAGAGCTGGGTTTAAACCTGCCACACCCAGTATATGGGGCGGGCGCCCTACCTACTGAGCTACAGGCATCACCCACAATTAGAATTTCTTTTTTTTTTTTTTTTGA